TATATATATATATATATATATATATATATTTCGATATTCTGAGAATATTCTGAGAATATTCTAAAAATATTTCTTATACAATTCATAGTTCTACAAAATATTAACCGTAATTTGTTTTTTACATTTTAGTCATAATTTTTCATAATCTATGTGCAATATCCTCAGAATATCCCCTGCATATTGCGTATATATATGAACTTTCGGGATAAATTCCATAATATATGGAGAATCTATGGTATGCATATATATGGAGAATATACGATATGCAAAATATGATATTATGTGTGCGATATCCTGAGAATATCCTTAGAATATACGAAATATTCATATCAGTATATACTGCTTACAATATCTTCGATATATTCTCAGAATATTATGTATATATATAGGAGATTCCGTATGAATTCAGAATATACGGAGAATATCATGTGTTATCTGGGAAATAAGATCGATATGTACCCACCTGTTTTTAATATTTAAAAATATAAAACACACATTGGAACACACATTGAAACAAATTGAGAAAATAATGAGACTCTGTAAATAATATAAGAAATATTAAAAAATTATTGTCTTCATTATACTAATTATTAACAATTTTACTTTATAAAAAAATAGAAATGATATAAAGTGGTTGAATATTACTGCTTTGTTAACTACAATTAATATTATTATCTTTAGTTAAGAACAATAAATATCTTTATTACATATGTGTATACACGCGGATAACATTCATTTAAAATTATCTTATATTGCAAAACATGGGCATCGTCATTGGTAATATTTTTTCAATTGTAATGTAGAGTAGCTAATTCGTGCGTATCATTAAAAAAATTAGATTTCATGCTTCATTTGTTTTTAATGTATTTTAATTCGTATTCGCACCGCATTATGAATCTCTTCGTACTTCATAAAAAAAGTATCACGTTCAGTATTAAAATAAGATAAACCTTACAAATCGGGAAGCCACTATAATGGCGCGACAGCAATTTTATAAAATCCAACTACAATTATTATTATTATTATCGATTTTTTCGAAAATATAAAAAAGAAGTAACAGTTTCGTACTCACACATTCATAGTTATATGTTGTTCTTTCTAACGCTCGTTCTTTCTAAAAGAAAAACCCAGTGAGGTATAAGTAATCGAAATAACATCAAATCAATGTCGATTCGATCAAATCTCATTGAAATATGATCAACCGCTGCAGTGCATCGATAATGTTTCGATGATGTTTCGATGTGTTTTGGTTATGATAAATTGCAGGTTTGTCCTTATATTATCAATGTAACATACATATTTTTTTAATAAATAATTTATATTATTGTTTTTAATATTTTCCTAATTTAATATCAATTTGACATCGATTTGACATCGGTTAAAAATTTGACTTAATTGTTATACAGGGTCTTTTAAAAGTGTAAAAACCCTTTAATATTTTGAAAAATATGCATTTTTGAAAAAATGTTTCATACAAAAGTTATAAGGCTTTAAGTGACACATTATGTAGTAGTATTAGTGTGATCTTAAATTGCATTGCCCAGATTTACGTGAAGGTCATTTTCAATTTTTTAAATAGAAACCCCTATATTTTATTGTATATTCTTATTGCTTTCGAGAGCTTACCTTTAAAACACGATAATAAAATATTTTTGAATTATGTATTTTTTAAGTAATGAAGTTTGAAGGTTACAATATCGCCGGTATAAGTGTGTGCTTTCCAGCAAAGAACACAGACGACACTATGTAGTACAGTGTCAGACACAGTGCTTTTCAACAACGACACAGCAAAGCACAATTCGACACAGCATTGATGTAAAGTTCGAGTGTGTTTCCTAGTCATTGTTGCTAATCGTTAAAAGTGAATAAACTTTTTTGATCAGTACTGGGATTCTGTAACTCGTTATTGAAATTAATGAGTTACAAAATCCCAGCACAGTCCTAAATTAATAGCTGTAATTTGTGTCGATACATTTTAGACATGTTTCAATGTAAGCACCCAGCAAACCACAAGTATTAATAACATAACATTGATGTTTGAATGTCAGCCCGACCATATGGTATTTCATGTAACTGTTACATGTTATGTAACATGTAGTAGTTACGTAACAAACATAATTGTGTTGACATTATATATCTATGTTATATTACATGGATATACAAAACTTCCCCCCTCACCCGCCGCAGTGCGGAGGGTCTGGGGGCCGTAGCTCTCCAGTTACACGGCTAGAGACAAGCACCTTTTTTATTTTTATCATTTTCTATTTATAAAACTTCAAATATAATAGGAACACACCGCGAGCCCGCTCGGGCGGGCGGGCGAACGCGCTTGCTGGCGAGCAGAGTGTGTATGTGTGTGTGTGTGTGTAGCAGGCACCTTCCTAGCGCACAAATTCGATATTTTTGTATATACGTTGTCCAAAAATTACATTTATTTGATGCAACTTCTTTTGTTAATAACTTTTTAACAAACAACGAGCGACCGTTGAAACCTTTTGATTGTTACTCAGGGCCATGTCCTTAATAACATATCAAGATCATGCTGATTGGAAATGGCGTCTGTTTCCTATACCTTTACCAACAAAACTTCAAAATATTGAAGAATTGAGATAACAAATAAGGAACGCGCGCGTGCGCAAGCCAGACTTGATATCTCTTGAAAATAATCGTAGTCATTTCAACGTTTTACCAAAGATTAACATACTGTCAGGAAATCAATGGGAATTATTTTCAGCATTTACATGCCGCTAGCATTTATTGCTTAATTTCGGCAGCTGCAAAATATATATCTTTTGTTCAAAAAGTATTGACTTCTCCACACTTCACTTTATTGGAATTAGTGGTTTATAATATTACGAATAATGCTACTGCTTTAGGTAAAGCGTAGAAGCGCGCGTACGTCTTGACGTACTACGTCGTGGTCAGTCTCTTGCATACCGCTAGCATTTATTGCTTAATTTCAGCAATTACAAAATATATCGATTTTGTTCAAAAAGTACTGACTTCTCCACACTTTACTCTATTGGATTTAACGATTTATAATATTACGAATAACACTGCTTTAGGTAAAATGCATACGTCTTGACGTCGCGGTCAAATGCTTATATTCCGCTAACATTTATTGCTTAATTTCGGCAACTATAAAAGATATCGGTTTCGTTGACAAAACACTAGATTTTACACATTTGCAGTTATTGAAATTTGTAGTTTGTAATAATACGACCGATATAAGTTGTATTTCCAGATAGCACAGGATGTCCTATGGACGCCCATTTTATGTCTATTTTACGTCCACACATTTATGGACATTTTACGTCCATAAGATTTTGGATATCCGTTAATGTCCATAATTTGGATGTCCATAAGATATCCGATCTTGGACATAAATGTCGTAAGTATAAAATTCGACTATGGTTGAGCATGTTGACAATACGCGCTATCAACGCTACATATCCTTCTATCCCCAGGCAGCAACGTCACGTCATTTTCACGTCGATAAATGGTGATTACAAGTCCTAGACGTCATATCACCAATAACTAACGTTTAAAAAACGTGATAATTTTGACGTGATAACGTCATTTAAAAACGTCTGTAATACGTTTTTGAGAGATCATTTTTAATCAGCTGTTTGATAAGCAAACAATATGACAGATA